CGAAAACTCGGCCTAATGTGGACCGAAGGATGGCCAAGTTTGTGAAAATGCCGGGTTATTGGGAATGAGGTTTAAAAAAATAAGTACGAGTGTTTCCTCAGAAAATACTGTAGTGTACTTGTATGTATTGTTTGCTTGAGAATACAACAGAGAATAAACTGCCCAATTACCCTTAAACAAAGGAAAAGTACGTCCTTTATGAAGGCATAGAGCCTTTACTACATGAAAATGAAAATGAATGAATCTACTGTGTACAGTAATTTACCTAATAAGACAGACCTCAGAAAAATACTTTGTAAGGCATAAAGCTGTCTATGATGAAAATTAAGTAACTAAAGGTTTTTTTTGCCCTGCTAGAGTGTGGCCGAGTTATCCGGAGTGCTGGGTTATTGAGTGCCGAGTTTCAGAACTCTACTGTATAATTAATTTTTGTGTAAAGCATATATTGAAGTATTCAAAATTAACTAATTCTAAAGTCAAAATTTAAACTTTAATTTTTAAAATATAGCTGAGATAAAAAGTTTGCTGTCATTTCAGCTACAGGTGAAGCTCAGAATCTTTGATTTTTTATTAGTAGTTAAAATGAGGATTTTATAAAATAAATGTTTCTTATAATTAATACTAATTTGAACAAATTTCTAATTTAATTTAAAAAGTAATGACCAATTATTTATTTTGATATTGTCACAATGCCAGGCTGCACTTTTTAATCATATTTTTAAATAATTTAAAATACATGCTCTCCATCTCAAATTATTAGTGTCTTGCCCCAGTACATCATACTTTTCCTTTAACATCAGAATTGTGTCAGTCATCAATTAACTGCTTTCAAAGGAAAAGATTTGAATTGAAATAATGTGACTTCTGGTTTGCATTGGACATTTGTATGTAGTTAAATGGGCCTCCTGTCCCTAATGTTTCCATATCTGATTTCATCTTTCATCTATTTAACTCTGTTTTTGAAATTTAGGAAAGGCAGATGGATAGACAACAGTGGAAATTTATAGATCTAAAATTTTTTGAAATTGCAGCTCAATTACTTTTCAATATTTTGTATAAATGGATGCAGATATAGAAGTAAGATGGAAGTTGAAACTGAATTTTTGTCTGTTGTAATGAATGCAGATCTCATGATTTTTTTTATTAATGATAAAGGATTTTTGATTTCAAATATTATTTGATGTATTGCACCAACTATTTTGTTTTGGGAGTCATGAAATGTTTCAGAAAAAGTAAACAACTACAAGCTTTGAATAGTAACAATCAGTAAGTTATTTTGTCTGTATTATAAAGATTCATATATCTAAGTATCATATATCTAATAGTTCTGCAATTGTCTTTTGAAAGTCTTAATGTATTATTGAGCATCAGCAACCTTTTCTACTACTACTAATAATTTTTTTAACAATTGAATTATTTCGTGTTTATATGTATGTATAAATGTAAATTAATGCCAGTTGCCAAGAGTATAAAGTTATAAATACACATTTAAACCATACAATGCACAGTTTTTGAATAGGAGTCGTCCATTAATCACATGTACAGTTTGAGAGAGGAGAATTGAACATCGAGGTGAACAAATATTGAATTTATTCTTGCTTTCACTTCAGTGAGAATATTGTATTGCTTTCCAGTGCCATAAATTTGGAACGCTAAGTTATCCGAAGTTTTTCAATCACGTTTACATTAATTTTGTGTTGAGTGGTGGCCAGTCCAAAAGTTAAATTTTTGTGCTGAAAAAGGATAATGTTAACTTTAAAACATGAAGGCTTGGATTGTCCTGCATGAATTTAAAGTCCTGTCCATAAGTGAACTCAAACAGCACATAAAAGTCAGAAATGACTGTAATTATACTAAAAAGTTGATATTAACTGTATATAAATAATGTACCAGAAATACAGTGCCCCACATTTAGAATGGAATTGATTTATCTATACTATGTCTCAATTAGTATTACAGTTCAGAATATTGCAGTCATCTGGATCTTCAAATTCTTTCCATCATGAATCTTACTTTATCATGCAAAGAATTTTAAAAATGAGTTACTTCTGATCCATTGACATTGTTTTATATTATCTATATATATAAAAATGAATGTATGTCTGTCTGTGTGTCTGTCTGTATGTCCTTCATGCATTACCACACCGTTTATCCGATTGCCATGAAACTTTGGGAAGTTTTTTAATACACTCCCGCGAAGGTTTCTGGCATAGTACATTTACCGACCGAGAGAGGAG